TAAAGCGGAATGAGCACGATAATGCGCATCTCACCCAGCCAGACATGGAAATGATCCCAGAACAATGACATAGTTCACAACAGCTAGAACAATATCGGATATGCGCCAAGCTTGACTTTGACGCGGCGCTTGACGAGGCCACCGAGACCAACACCGATGGGGTCAAGTGCATGGATGCGGTCAGCGAAGCCGCCAGAGATTCGCCAAGCGAGAGGATGGAGCCAGGAAACGATCACATGGAGACGAGGGAGAAGGACGAGAATAACGACGCGGAGGAGACGGACGACGACTTCGACCTCGAGCCCAAAGCGCCGGAGAAGATGAACACGCAGCGCGATGAACTACTCTAGCGAGCTCGCCGGCACAAGGAATATAGGTTTCGAGACCCCCAATTTGCAGAACACGTGCGCGAAGTCCGCCGGCGCAGGTAAGACAGGCTTCAAGACCCCCTGTTTGCTGAACGAGTTCGCGAAGCTCGCCGTCGTCGGTCGTTGAGACCAGTTTCGAAGCCAGAAGTACGACGCGGAGCGCGAGAAGGTCCTCTTAGATGCTAAGGGATGGGGCTGTGCCCCCCCGCAGATGATATGCGCAAGCGTGCGGAGATGGTCTTGGGAACTGCCGCCGGGACAGATGAGTGAATCGATGTGGCCACAACGCCATTGTGGAGTGAGTTGGAACATTCTTTTGTGAATCGCGAGTGAGCCTGATAGTCGCGACCCTTGCCAGCAGCATGCAGTAGTTGTTTTTTTTTTCGGGCGCTCTGGCCCCACCCCGCTTTGTCCCCTCGCGAGGACACTCTTGCGGGCACCGTCGCCGACGCCGTCGACTTGCAGAGGTTCTGCCCACGCGCACTTGCTGAAACTATAGGGCAGCCGCGTGGTTTTAGCCATCTCGTCGAGAAACCGCATTATCATTTCACCATGCGGTACACCCGCGTTGACCTGGCATACGGTCAGCGCGCGACTCCATATCAAGTCATACAATGTCGGCCACTTACGCGCGCCGCCACGCGCACGTGCGTGTTGAAGCCCCTCCAGCATCCAATAGGGTTCGGCGCATGGCAGAGTATAGTTCTTCAAACACATATACAGCACATGAGTTATGCCAACAACGAGTGTACACGATTTATCGAGCTTCGGAGAGCGCGCTTCCTCATCACCCTCATCAGCGCCACCCCATCACCGCAGTTATCGTCATTGCCAATCGGGACCACTGCCGCCATCATCAGCACAATCACCTTCATCACTGACGCATGCACATCGTACTCGTTCTCGTCGTCCCCAGCGTTGGCGCCGTCATTGGCCTCGTACTCGTACTCGTTCTCGTCATCATCGCCACCACCATCGCTATTCTCATCATCGTTGCCGCCGTTGTCGACGTCATCATGACATCGCGCCCGCCCAAGCCACCGACCCGCGCTGAAGTGCCTGGGCGCCAGCGGGTCCTTTGAGACGCGCTGGGGCGTCACCATCGGTAAGCGCCATCGCAGCCGCATCAGGTGTGCCAAACCAGCTGGTTGTTCAGCGCGCGAGTCTGCGCGCGCCAGCGCGGCCGCAGAAACGCGCTAGCAAGTGCCAATCAGTTATCGCAGTCGTGGCCGAATGGGTTTTGCCAAACAAGGTGCGGGTGGGAGGGTGGGATGTTTGCGCGAGCAGTTGAGTTGACGATTCCAAGACGGTTTACAGTGTTTGCCCCACGTAGGCCCCACCACAATGTTTGCGCATCTACGGTGCACAAGCCCACCGGTTTGGGCCCACGCTGGCAGATTTCCTGTCGACGCCCGCGTCGAGGGTTTTTTTGGTCAGCAGGGGGCTGTACTGGAGTCCCCCAGAAAAGCTTCCAGGCCTCCCAAATCTTTCGAGCACTGCGGTGCCATAGGCGGGTCCCCGTTGGGGGTCGCCATTTCCTCCCGGAGATCGAAGCTCGGGGGTTGAGGGTCGAGGAGGTTTTTGTTGGGCGAGTCGTCTTCGGAGGTTCGGGGGAAGTTTGGGGGTCCAGAGGAATCCTTCTCCTCGAGGAGGTGGCGGCCCCCTGGCGTCAATTACCTGGGAGGAGGAAGCCGGTGAAGAGGTGGACGAGGAGGAGAGGAGGAGGTGGACGGGGGGGAACGAGGAGGAAGAGGAGGAATCAGAAGAGGAGGAGGAGGAGGAGGAGGAGGAGGAGGAGGAGGAGGAGGAGGAGGAGGAGGAGGAGGAGGAGGAGGAGGAGCAAGAGGAGGAGGAAGGGGAGGAGGAAAAGGAGAAGGAGGAGGAGGAGGAGGAGGAGGAGGAGGAGGAGGAGGAGGAGGAGGAGCAGGGGAGGGAAGAGGATGACGAGGACCTCGATACCCCCCCGTCCCTGCCGACCCGCTTCCCCGAAAGCCGTCCGAGGGTCCTGCCCGATCGGCCCAATGGTTGATTAACTGGGGGACAGGAAACCCGGACCAGACCGAAGGAAGGGGACTGGTTTCGGAATTCCTTCCGTCGAGGAAATGCCTGAACCGAGCCGCTATCGCCACCTCCTCCTTACAGTCAGCCCCCACTGCCCACAGAAAGGATGAGCAACTTTCCAATGCTAACCTTGTATCCTTGCCCCTTCGGCCCATCCTTGGCCGCCTCCGTTGGCCGCGCCCCGCCCGCAAAATGCCGACATGGCCTTCCAAGGCCCTTGCCTCCTTGTTGTGCGTCCTTATTCTACGGGTTGACTGCATCGCCCCCTCCTCCTTGGTCGGGTCGGGGTTCCCCTCCTCTCGCCGGGCCACTGCTGGGCCTTCCTCTCCAGCGCTGCAGCGCTCTCGCGGCGGCGGCCCCAGCCGCGCCCCCGGGGCCAGCTCTCCGCCCCGAGGCCGTGTGATCTGACGGCCTCCTGGGGCGGGGAAGCGGCCCAAGAGGCCGAGAACGCGTCGTCGTCGTCGTCGTCGTCGTCGTCGTCGCCGTCGTCGTCGTCGTCCTTGTCGTCGTCGCCATCGTCGTCGTCGTCGTCGTTGCCATCGTTGTCGCCGTCGTCGTCGCCATTGCCGCCGTCGTCGTCGTCGTCGTCGTCGTCGTCGTCGTCGTCGTCGTCGTCGTCGTCGTCGTCCTCGTCGTCGTCGTTGGCGTCGTCGTCGGCGTCGTCGTTGTCGTCGTTGTCGTTGTCGTCACACTTGTCGGCGCCGTCGTCGCAATTGTCGTCGTCATCGGGAGGCCCTCCTCGAGAGAGGGCTTGGCCGTCCGACCGCGGCGCGTACACGTCTCGTCGCTGTCCCAGCACCGGGACTCGCACTCGCCGATCGGGGCCCCCGCGGAAAACGGGGCGCGCCGGGTCTCGCCCCGCTGCTGCTGTTCCTGCTGCTGTTCCTGCTGCTGCTGATGCTGCTGATGCTGCTGATGCTGCTCCTGCTTCTTCTGCTCCTCCTCCTGCTCCTGCTGCTTCTGCTTCTCCTCCTGCTCCTGCTACTGCTCCGTCTCCCTCTGCTCCTCCTCCTCCTCCTCCGCCTCCTCCTCCTCACCCCCTATCCCTCCTTCTCCTCCTCCTCCTCCTCCTCCTCCTCCTCCTCCTCCTCTCCCTCCCCCTCCTCGCTCCTCTCCTGCAGTCGAGACGCTGAAATAGGGAGCAGCGTGGCTCGGAACGGGCCCGCTGTTCCTCAGGTCCTTTCATGGTTGCTCTTCTGGCGCACCTCGTGTACCCGGGGGGGGGGAGGGGCAGAAAAGGGCTTGTGCTCCTGAGTTCGCATGCCTTCTAGTAGTAGCTTGGCTGTATCCCCGTGAGCATGCCAGGGATCCTGATGCTGATCTTGAGCAATCGGTGTCGCGTCTAGCTTGTATCCACCGCCCGCGCGGGACGGGGGCGTCAAAACCTCCCTTTCACTGGCGCGGCCTCGCGCCGCAGGCCTCCTCCGCCTCTTCCCCCTGCTTCTCCTCGGGCTCGAGCTGGTGTCCTTTGACCCTCGGAGGTGCCGCCGTCGGTGGCCCTCCTCTATACTCTTAGCCTGCGCCAGGCGGTGGAGAAGAAAACCAAGTAGGTCAAAGAGGGAGAGAGAGAGAGAGGGAAGCGACCAAACGACGAGACGAATCCCAGAGGTGCAGGGGGGCAGAGGCAGGTGGGGCTGCTGGCCGCGCCTGTGTGAGCAGGGATACGGCCCTGGCCGCTCTCCAGGGCTGCCCGGTCCAAACCGTGCTTGCGCAGGGGTGGGGAGGGAGGCGGTCTAGCGAGACGGAGTTTTGTCGTCGGGCGGGCGCGCATCATTGGTGGTTGGCCCGAGCGTGGGCCCCACCCCTCCGAGGGGGAGGTGGAGGGCCTTCCTCGGCGCATCCTCTCCTGGGAGAAGGTTCGCCACCCCCCAATCCTTATCCTGAGGATCGGGAGGAGGGGGAGGTGGTTGGTGGCGTGGCAGCCGAGCAGGCAGTGGCGTGCGGAGGTGGGGAACGCTGCCCGCGAACGTGCGCGGCGCTGAGGCGATATTTTGGAAACGACCCGCCCTCAATCTGTGAAGCTCTGTGCAAATGTTGGAAGTGAATGTGCGCGGCGCTAAGGCGAGATCCACGTTTTGAAAACGACCCGAAACCGTCGCAAATTTTGAAAACGCATGTGCAGGGCGCTAGGGCGAGAGCCACTTTTTGGAAACCACCCGCCCTCAATCCGTGAAACCGTTGCAGATTTTGAAAACGAGTGTGCGGGGAGCTAGGGCGAGAGCCACTTTTGAAAACCATTGTGAGACTATTGCCATTTTTCAGCTTCAGGCTCATAAATGGTAAGGAGGTCGCAGGCGAAACGCCCGGTCCGGCGTCGCCGTCGGCGTCGCCGTCGTCGTCGTCGTCGTCGTCGTCGTCGTCGTCGTCGTCGTCGTCGTTGTTTTTGTCGTCGTCGTCGTCGTCGTCGTCGTCGTCATCGTCGTCGTCGACCGTCGTCGTCGTTGTCGTTGTCGTCGGCACTCGTCGTCGTCGGCGGGAAGGGGGGCGGGCTTCCGATTGAGGAGGGGCAAAGGGAACGGCGACGACGACGACGTCGAGTCCATCAGAACAGCGTCTTCCACATGCCGACAGGGTCGGCGGATTTCCTGCAATCGTTAGGGGAACGATGTGAGAGCGGGGTTGAGCTTCACTGGCAGCGGCGGCTGGGTACGTGAAGGTCGAGTGTCAGGGCGTCTAGCTGGCGATGCGCTCCGACCTAGAGGTGCGACGGGCGAAACATAGTAAACCCACCGGTAGCAGGCTATGCAAGCGTGATGCGGCTGTACGCGTAGATTGATGTCTGTTTGTGTGGTTCGTGATTTATCTTGTGCAGCACCACCGTCTCCAGAAACAACTTGCAGTCATGCGCTGACATGGTGACCCTGTCGGGGTTGAGCGAGGGGTAGGACAGTGAGGGTGGTGTGCAGGAGAAGGAATGCGTGTGAGAAGAATGGTGAGGACCTTGTAGGTGTAGTAGCGGTGATGTGGATGCACTTGTAGATGGTTCCAGAGGCTTCGGACGTCCAGGAATGGCCCCCACACTCACGAAGTTCGATCTTCAGCTATCGATCTTCAAGGGTCGAAGACGATGAGGATGAGGGCCACCTACCGGGCGAGGGCCTGGGGTCACCCGCCAGGCCTGGCCGGCCCGCACGAACCGGCAGTACAGGCTTCGGCTTGGGCGCCGAAAGGGTGCCGCCTCACCCTTGTCAGGTTACGTCAGGCTCGATCTGGTTGACCCACAAGGGGGTCCAGCGAAAAGAGGGTGGTGCAATAGATTTGGTGCATCAGATTCGTGGGTTGCGATAACTTGTGGGCGTGCAAGACATTCTGGTGCGCAAGTGTATTGCTGGGTCTTCGCGTGCCATACAGTAGTTGCAATACGATGCAAGACACTTCTGTGGCGCAATACATTTGCAACACACTTGCCCCAAACCTATTGGACCAGCCCCTTTCAGCTGGACTCCCTTTTGGGTCAACCAAACTCGAGCACGCTCTCGAGCACGCCAGAACTCGAGTTTGCCGACGTTCTTTGACGAGCGCGTCCTGGGTTTTGACGGTCCACTTTTCGTGGGTTCTCTGCAGCGGGAGCTCAAGTCAAGTTTCAGATTGGGTCTCGTCATTTTCATGATGGCCCCGTCAGGCCAACCCGAGTCCCCCGAGCCCGAGTTTTACGTCTCCGCATCATTGGCGCCTGGAAGAGGACGCAGCTCGTTGCGTGCTATCCGCCCCGAACCAAACATCCGGGTCGGTCACATCGGGGCAAGGTTTTTGTCAAAGGGTTGCATGCCCCTTCTCAGCCACCCCCCCCCCCTCTGCGAAGTAGACGTGGCTCATAATGTACAGTATAGCGAGAGAGAGAGTCGCCAGTGCATGTCCAACATGGGCAGTCCGGTTTTTTGGCAGGGCCAAATATCGCGCAAGCAGCAGCGGCGCGCGTGGTGGCGGACTTCTTCCGCAGGAGGACGACGATCGTCTGGCATGCCCTCGCCAATGATGCAGTGAGGACATAGGCAGCCGAAGAGCGCGCGAATGGCTCGTGCCAGGCCGCCAGCCTGACTCTCGAAGGCACCCCATCCTCGCGTATACCTTCTGGCGAGCAAGCCTTCCGTCGTGGGGCGCCCCAGTTTGTTGCCCCACAGTGGTGGGGCGCGCTGCTGCTCTGCTTCACGTTCGTGTTGCGCTCCTCTTCCTCCTCGCTGGCAGACGCGTCCTGCTTCCCCGCCCACGCGCCAAACGGTGCGAGGCTTCTCGACTGCTGGGCTGAAGCCACCGCGCTCGTCCATGGCTCTGGCTCAAGGTCAGCCCTGGAGCGGGGGCCCCCCTGCGCCCGCCCAGCACCCCCCCCTCCCGGATGCCTGGGCGCCTCGGCCTCGGTGCGGAGGGGGGCACCGGCCTCCGGCCTCCCGATGTCCGAGCTCTTCGGCTTCGGCGCGAAGGACACCGCCATGAAGCGAGCCCAGTCCTCGAGACTGTTCTTTTTTTTCCCCAACCCTCCTGCGTTGGGTTCTCGTTTTGAATAGAGCACTGCTCGCGCCTTCCCACCCCCTCCCGTCCCTCTCTTCCCCCCTGCCTTTTACCTGGCTCGTCGCTGCTTTTCGAGGGCTGCTGGGGGCTGCGATCTGTGAAACTGTCGCCACTTTCGATGGCTGCTGGGGGGCCCAGCACAGTGGGCACCCGCGGCGGATTCAAATGGGACCTCGCCAACCCTGGGGGGCTGCGATCTGTGAAACTGTCGCCACTTTCGAGGGCTGCTGGGGGGCCCAGCACAGTGGGTACCCACGGCGGATTCAAATGGGACCTCGCCATCCCTGGGGGGCTGCGATCTGTGAAACTGTCGCCCCTTTCGAGGCCTGCTGGGGGGCCCAGCACAGTGGGTACCCACGGCGGATTCAAATGGGACCTCGCCATCCCTGGGGGGCTGCGATCTGTGAAACTGTCGCCACTTTCGAGGGCTGCTGGGGGGCCCAGCACAGTGGGCTTCCCGCACGTCTTTCTCCTGCTCTTCGTTCCCGACTCCCAATGTCCTCTTCGAGCCTGTAGTTGTCGCTCCTCGTTCTTGTATGGTTCTTCTGCGCATCATTCCATTGGCGCGTGTCCCAAGTAGCTTACATATCAAACAACGGATCCTGCAATTTGATTGTCCGTGCAAGTTTCGGCCAACTCCTCGTTTCCCATGGTACAAATGGGTTGGGTACGTCACAGGGTAATTGTCACCTCCTGGCGATAACGGGGGTGACCGGGGGGGGGAGGGGGGAGGGGGCGGGTCATATCACGATTCGCGCCAGCGCCGTCTGGTAATAGTTAGGAATGGCTAAGTCGTACACGGCGCCGGCGCGAATCGTAACGTGACCAGGGGGGGGAGGTCGGGGGGACGGGGCCAGTCACGTGCGTTAGCGCGAAGAACAAAGAATCGGGCTCGAATCGAGCCCAGACCTTCCGAGGATTGCCTTTTCGGCCGCGGCGTTTCTCCACAGTTTTCAGCACGATGGGATTGCTCCCTGGGAAGGGCACGGGGCCTTGGGGCGCAGATTGAAAGAATCATAGCGTCAGATGTCTGGGAACGGGCTTTGGGTTTTGTTCGCCGTGCCCGGTCTCCGGAGATGGAAGCGGGCCCCGGATATTCGCCGCTCCCAGGCCTTCGGAGCACTCACTGAGGGGGCCGCATGCGAACCCTACCCCTACCCCCCACGATTTCTGAGGGGGAGGGTAAGGTTCACTTCGCTCGGGAGCTCCCGAACGGAGTGAACCCCACCCTCCCCCTCAGAAATCGTGGGCTCAGGACCTTCCATGTGGCTCCCTACACTGGGCCCAGGACCTTCCGAAGACGGTTCGGGAAGAATGACGGGCCTTCGGGGGGGGAGGTCCATGGGTCCAGGTCGGGAGTTTCGTAACGGGCGCGTGGCAGTTAGCCGGGGGCCATCAGGGGCTGCAGGCATGGAAGGGGCCCGGGAGGGACCCCCCTGGGGCCCAGCAGGAGTAAGAAAGGTGCACCCTCCTTCACCCCTCGTCGGTTGTTCCCCCCGATCAGCAGCAGCCGACCAGGACCCGTTTCCCTCGGAACCCTTCTCCCGCCAAGGACAGAGAGGATGGGGCCGCCCCAGACTGGCGGTGGGCGCGGCTGGCCAGGGCCCCGTCCCACAGCTCGAGGCCGGAGGCCGAGATCCCCGGGGAGCCGCCGAGGGACCCGGAGGCGAGACCGAGGAGCTGGTCGGCGTGCTCGCCCGACGCCGTGGCCACGGACCTCGGGCGACGAGAGCTACGCGCACACATACACACAGAAAAACACACAAGCACACAGACAGACCCACAGACACAGACACACACACAGACACCCACAGACACACACACACACACACCTGACACACAGACAGACAGACACAGACACACACAGACACACACACAGATACACACAGACAGACACACAGACACAAACACACACACGCAAAGACACACAGACACACACAGACACACACATACCACACACAGACACACACAGACACACACACACAGACACACACAGATACACACAGACAGACACACAGACACACACAGACAGACACACAGACCACAGCACACACACACCACACACAGACACACAAACAAACACACAGACAGACACACAGACACAGACACACACACATAGACACACACAGGCAGACACACAGACACACACACATAACACACAGACTCACAATGACACGCACGGGCGCACACAGACAGACACACACAGACACACAGACCCACACACAGACACACAATGACACACACAGACTTACACACACCACTCACAGACACACACAGACAGACACACAGACACGGACACACACACACAGACACACACAGACACAAACAGACGGACACACATACCCAGACACACACAGACACACACAGACACAGAGACGCACACAGGCACACACACAGCCACACACAGACACACATTGACACACAGACACACACAGACAGACCCACACAGACACGCACACACACAGACAGACAGACACACAGACACACACAGACACACACAGACACACCACACACAGACACACAGACAGACACACACAGACACAGACAGACACACAGACAGACACAGACAGACACAGACACACAGAGACATACACACACAGACACAGACACACAGACAGACACACACAGACACACACACAGACAGACACACAGACACACACCACACACACGACACACAGACACGCGCACAAACAGACACACAGACACACAGACACACAGATACACACACCGGCACACACAGACACACATAGCCGCACACAGTCACACGCAGACACACAGACACACAGACACACACATATACACAGACACACAGACACACAGACACACGGACACACACAGACAGACACACAGACACACACCACACACACCATACACAGACACAAACACACAGACACACAAACAGCCACAAACATACACAAACACACACAAACACAGACAGACACACAGACACAGACACACACAGACACACAGACCCACACAGACACACACAGACACACACAAATACACATCACACATAGACACACACACACATATACGCAGACAGACAGACACACTGACACGCACACAGACAGACACACAGACAAACACCACACACCCACATATCACACACAGACACACACAGACAATCACATAGACAGACACACAGACA